TGATGCCACATCCTCCTGCGCTTTTAATACCTCTCCCACGTGTTGATGTTCTCTCCGTGTTAGCGGGATTCAAGAGTAAACAAAAGTGAACGAGATTAGCTATTTGTAAAGTCGCTTCCTGAAACTGAGGAAAGGAAAGGGGAGATAAAGAAGCACAAAAATGAAGGTGGGAATTTTTGCGTGGAATGGGATGTGATTGCAGTTTAAAGAAATATGATGTGATTGCAGTTTATGATCAGTGGACCCACACAAGTTACAAAAGTCATTGTGGCACCACAATTTGTTATCAATGCTACCCGGTGGGGCCACAGAGGACCTTGCACTTCCCAAGTTGATGTATGACACAAATGGCATTTTAATTAAGGTCAAAGTACTGTATGCCCATATGAATGTTACTTTTTCTATTGATCCAATGATCCAATATACTGAAGAGTATCCTAATATAGTTTGATGCTCAATGCGTAATCCTCACCCCAGCCCCTCAAAAAAAAAAAAACTGATTGTCTGTCCAATTATGCCATCATACAGTTTTGTAACACTATTAAGCTTTGAATATACAGTATATGTATATACTCATCTCTAGCTAACATTTTTCCATCCATCCAACCATCCTCTACCACTTAACCGGGGTCGGGTCGCGGGGGCAGCAGCTTTAGATAAGATAAAATAAGATATCTTTTATTTGTCCCACACTGGGGAAATTTACAGTCTACAGCAGCAAGATTGTGGGTAGAAAGAAGAAAGAAGAAAAACAAAGTGTTTGCATTCACAAAATAAATGTTACAGTTTCAATGTACACCGTTCAATCAAGTGCAATATAAGAACGGTGTACAACACTTAGCAGGGAAGCCCAGACTTCCCTCTCCCCAGCCACTTCTTGTAACTCTTCCCGAGGCGTTCCCAGGCCAGCTGGGTGACATAGTCTCTCCAGCGTGTCCTGGGTCGTCCCCGCGGCCTCCTGCCGGTGGGACATGCCCGGAACACCTCACCAGGGAGGCATTCAGGAGGCATCCTAATCAGATGCCCGAGCCACCTCATCTGGTTCTTCTTGATGTGGAGGAGAAGCGGCTCGACTCTGAGCCCCTCCCGGATGACCTTTTTATTTACTGTATTACATTTACCTGATTTCGATGCAAACCCTCAAATTAAAGTTGAAAGTCTGCAGTTAAAGCACAGTTTGTTTCATTACGAATCCAATGTCAGGGTGTTTAGAGACAAAGAGATGACAATTTTGTTGATGTCACAATATTCATTTTTAGTAGATAAACAGTCTCCCGTAATATGTCCCCTTTAAGAAGCAGACAATGATCACATTTTATTTGAGGGAAAATACAGTAAATACATTCACACATATCACTTGATCTGTGCACTCATGTTTGGATTCTGTTATCTTTGGAAAACCAAATAAACAATCATTTTCTTTATTTAGCTCACACACACACACACACACACACACACACACACACACACACATAGGTAGGCATGTGCTGCTTTTAACATCCATTACGATTCATGGGAGTCTTAATTTTAGTCTACAATAATGACAGCTATTGACTTTTCTGTGTCCACATACATTTGATTACTAAATCATGTAAGTCTGTGTTTTAAAGATGTTCTCTGTCCTGAAAAGAGCCCAATTGTCACTGAGATATAATGTCACATAAACTTTTGGCCACTTAATTTGGCAAATGCAATTTTTAAATGTGGCGCAGACTGTTCAGCCATCACTTTGGCGCCTGGAATACCAGAGTAAATTCTTCAAAAATCATGATTGGAGGTTGATTATAAACAACAGAACTCGCTGCCAAACAACATCAAAGTAAGAGCATCATAGAATGCATCGAGAAATGAAACAATTGGGACAAAACAACGGCATTGCCTTAAGAAAAATCATAAAGTTAATGGGAACAAGCGCTGCTCTGAAGCGTAACATTTGCACTCTGGAGAGATGGAAAAGGTCATGTGAAACAAGATTTAAAAGCACATCAGTGGAAGAAGACAGGCAGATGAAGCCAAACAGCAATTGTGCTTGAATGCCATCCATCCATTTTCGATAGCCCATCTCCCTGTTCGGTAAGCGGATGAGCTGCAGCCTGTAGTCTATTAGCATAATTATCCAAGCCATTTTCAACATATTGTCACACTGTCAATTTAAAAAAAAGAAAAAAAAAGAAAAGAGGGTGTTTTTTTTTTTTGTGTGTGTAGATTGTCAGTCACTAGGTGTGGTAATCGAGGCTACTGGGCTCTTGTTTGTTGAATTTCTTGTGTTTTCATGTCATCTGAAAACATTCACTGGCAATGATGCTATTAGATGAATTCCATGGTAACAACTGCAATAATCAGAGCTGCCATGTGCTTGAATGACTGAACAGAATATGAATGAGTGAGTTTGATTGTATTTTCAAGGACACAAATTAGTGCTTACTTTTTGAGCAGCAAGGAAAATGTTTCAGTGTCATGAGCGCAGTGGACAAATTTGTGCAAGAAACACGTTTCCAATTATGGAGTGAAACCCACCAACTTAAAAGCAAAAATGTACAAAATAAGGCCTTCTCAAAACTGTTTATTGGGAATCTGCCACTGAAGAGGAATTTACTCTGACAAGATTCAGCACATCGCTGGCGAGGTTGGTGGGGTTAGAGGGAGGAGATTGAATAGGGAAAGGGCTTGCTTGGGAAGGTATGAGGAGCGTAGGGATGAGGAATTCATGCATGTAGAGACTGGTAGAAGGAGCAGAGAGACCTTGCAAACCCATGGTACAGTCAAAGAAGATTAACACAATGTCACTTTATAGTAACTGTCTTGAAACTGTGTGTTATTTAGAACTTGGTCGACAAATACTTTAGCTATTACACACCTAACATTGTTGCACAAGAAAGCCATGTGAAACTGTGTGTTATTTAGAACTTGGTCGACAAATATTTTGTTGATTTTAAACATGTATCAGTGACTGTGGCTCTCCTTTCCTGTACCAAGCCATAAAAAAATGTTTGTTTTAAACTACAGATTCCGATACAGCGGGAATTTCCCCAACACACAACTGGATATTTGTGACAAAAAAAATCTGCGATATAGTGGCTGTGCAAATGACGAACTTTGATACAGCAAATGTGTACTGGTAATACAGTAAAAGCCAACACAGTCGATTTATGCAGAATCAACTTAGGAAGTAATGACTGTTTGTGTCGGAAAATACAAAGATACAAATCAGCAGTACCATAATTTAACTTAATTTTATATGGCCAATAAACTAAATCACTCATCACTCCTCCAATTTTGAAATTGAATTTGTAATTCTACATGAAAACATTTGCCTATTCCTTTAAAGGAAAGTTAACCCCAATTTTTTCTTTCCAATATAATGTTCTGTGTAGCCCCACTAGTCTAAAAAGCACTGTGTGATTAATATGACGTTAGCAGAGACTGAGTTCAATAATAAAATCTACCTGTTTTTGTCCATGGGGGGGGGCATTTTGACACTTTCTGTCGACTGAAAATGACGTCAGAATTGCGCAGGGCTCAGGTCACAACCAATCATGGCTCAGCTTCAGAAAAGAGGTGAACTGTGATTAGTTGTTCACTTATGACCTTGGCCTTGAGCAACCATGATATCATTTTCAGTCGACAGAAAGTGGGAAAATGGCCGCCCCCTAAAATGGATTTAAAAAAACAGTGCTTTTTGCTGCTTAACTCATAGTCCACAGACACAATATTAATCGGAATGCCGTGTTCAGAATACAGAGATGAAAGTCCTCCGGATTTTCCCGGAATTCCGGGTTTTTCAAATTTTTATGAAAATTTCTCCGGAGAATTGAGGAAAATAAAATAAATAATAAAATTAATCCGGATATTAGTTGACAACATTGAAAGAAGACGCGTTTGAGTTCGTTGTATTGCTTTCACGAGCGTAGCCATATTGAGGCACTAACACTCGTAACGGTAAAGAGATTTTTGTTTGTGTAATAACGACAGAAGACATGATGGCGTTTGACTAATGGTTTAGTAGAACGAATGGCAACTCGCAACA